ATGGTGATTGCAATCAAGTAATGAAACAAAATGTCTATGAACTATTGAATGAAAAACAAATTTGCTCTGTAAACTTTCACCCAAATCACAATGAAAAAAAGAATAACAAAGCAAAAAAAAAAAAGAACATACACATGTGAAAGAGTTTTATAAACATTAAAACAGACAAGAACATCAAATTCAAAATCTTTCCTAGATTTTTACTAATTTAGATGAAATTTTCTAAGTACTGCCTTTGAAAATAAATTTGGGTTCAACTTATAAGAGCGTGTTTTAAATATTCCAAAAAAAAAGTTAGAGTTGCTCTTTAAGTAGGAATTCATAGAACAGACAAAGCAGCCAGTGGATTTTCAGTTTTGTTTGTATGTATTCTTTCTTTCCATTTGATTTGAAGTCATAGACCTTGATGCTGATGATGCTAAGGACAATGTACCACTTTCTATAAGCTCTCCTCCTGCTGATTTACCAGCTGAAACTGAAATTGTAAACCCAGCTTCTAAAAAGAACGTGACAGTGAAGAAGACGATGGCAGCAAAAAGTAAGCCTACTGAGCTACTAGTGGGATTAACTAACTGCTGCGAATCAATTTTAATTTGTTAGTGTTCTGGTTCCCTAGTGCCGCTCTGACAAGAAATATACCACAAACGGGATGGCCTTAACAAACAGGAGTTTATTCTTACAATTTGGAGGCTTTAAGTCCAAGTTCAGAGTGTCAGGCTCTAGGGACTGGGTGAAAGCTCCTCAACCTTGGGGTACAGCTCTGCTTCCTGCTCCTGACCCACCAGAGCTAGAGGCATTTCTTCACTCAGACAGCTGCTGGCTGCTGAGGCTGAGAAGCCCCAAGGCTGACAAGTAAAAAAGTACAGTCCCGATGTTACCAAACCACACGGTAACTTAAGTCCATTGTAAGTCCGAAGGTCGGCAGAGCATAGCAGGCTGCTGAGTAAAGAATGACACAGCTACGTGCAGGGTCCAAGCGTGCCATAGACTAGAGACCATTCTCAAAGCTTCTCCTTATATACAGGAAGCAGACCACATCCTAAAGGCAGCTACCCAGCTGCTCGTGGTAGATCCTACCATGGAGCTGATTGCGAGTCTCCTCATGGGGATTAACTACCATCGGCTGCCCAGCCACTCAACCAGGCCCAGCCAAGTTGACACACAAACCAAACTACCATAGTTATCTTCCAAATTTATTATTGATATTGAAATTAAACCTTTACAGGTGGAAGCAACTCCTTTTAGATAATTATAATCAAAATTGGTGTTCAAATGATTTAACATTAGCATGTTTCTTAAAAATACCAGACATCTAATTTACATGAAAGATAGAATTTATAAGCAGTTGTAAATGTTTAATGTAAAATGTGTCTACTTAAAAATGTAAAAAAGTAACTTAAGAATGCTTTGATTCACTACTGTATTTTCAGCTATATTAGATTGTCTTCTCACTGGTTAAACAATTAATGGGTTGCTAAGAAAGTTCACAATGAGAAAAATTAATCTAAGAGTGGCCATGATGAATGTCTGTGTCCACCTGCAGGTCAGTCTTCCACCTCCACTACGGGCACCAAAAAAAGGGCTGCGCCAAAAGGAACCAAAAAAGATTCTGGCTTGAATTCTGACATCTCTCAAAAAAAGCCTGGTCCTGCCACATCCAAGAATCCCCGTAAAAGGAAACCATCCACTTCTGATGATTCTGACTCTAATTTTGAGAAAATGATTTCTAAAGCAGTGACAAGCAAGGTGAGTGTTTATCCCAGTCAGTCCTTTTGCTGTAGGTATTTTGAAACAAACCAAGCTTTGCTCTTAATAATTTGGTACATTTTTAAAGAAAATTTAATTTCCATAATTCATTAGCTTTCAGTGTATGTACTTTAGTTATAACAACACTAAATGTGCCATTTACTTGGTTGATGGGGAAAAGTTGCCCTGGATTTACTTATTGCTACTTAGTAGAAGGTGGAAATCTCCTTGAATTGCTGATGTATATTTTACATTGAAATTTTGCTGCCAGGTTTACACTGTATAAATTCCTTGGGCTTTTCTTTTTTAGAAATCCAAGGGGGAGAACGAGGACTTCCAGCTGGATTTAGACTCAACTGTGGCTCCTCGGGCAAAATCTGGACGAGCTAAGAAACCTATAAAATATCTTGAAGAATCCGATGAAGATGATCTGTTTTAAAATGTGAGGTGATTATTTTAAGTAATGGTATTGAGCCCAGGATTGGTTTTAAAATTATCTAAAGTTCTTATTTTCATCTCTTCTGAATTAATTGGTAAGATATTTTTAATCCAGAACCATCCAAGTATAGTAAATTAGGACCCAAGTCCCCTCTTAACATTTTATAATGTTATCTAAAGCATGAGCAATTATTGGCATTGTTTTTTCTCTGCTCTCTGCTGTGTCTGTCTGTTTTTAGTCTGTTCTCTTATCTTTAAAATCTGATTTTAAGTTTTTCTGGACTCTAGAGATACTTGTGTGGTCACTTCAGCATAGTTTAGTTGTTGACCATTAGTTAAGCTAAAATGGAGCGCTCTGAAAAGTATCTACTCTGGTTTCTCTCCTACTTTCAATGAACAGAAAATTGACCATGATCAATCCTCTGTTTTATCTTAGTGTTCTAAGTAATTTTTCATCAGATAAAACTGTATCATCAAAGAATGAAGAAACATACCCTGGCTATGTCTCTATAGCCTCAACAAAGTCAATAGGATAAAGAAAATTAGACTCAAATCTTAACTTGTCCCTTCTGGCTGCCTCCAAGTCTGACTAATTCCTAGGCAGCACCAGATTACACAACAGTTAGGAGCCACATTCTCTCTTGGATCTTACATATTCTATCAATGCCATACTTGGTGGTGAGCTGTTACGTCCTTGTTGTGGAATATCCGTAATTTCAACTTAGGAATTTTTCAAGACCTTTCTGCATTGTTATGTGTGTAACTACAGTGGTGTTATCAATGTTTTTGTAAATATTTACTATGTTTTTCTATTTAGTTTAATTCCAAAAATTTTGTACTTAAATAAAAAGTAAAGATTTCAATCCACTGAGTGCCCCCCCCTTTTTTTTTCCTGTACTACATCCTCCCTACTCTAAAATACAGCACTCTGTACTTCCTTTTGAGAACTGTTCCAATAGTATTCTGGTGGGCCTGACAGCCCCTGGCCACAGTGACAGATTCAGGAGATGGACACCATTACCTAACTGAGGCCTATCAGGTTTTTCCTGGGATTTTGTACATGAGTACTAAGAGACGTTCTCCATCTCAAAATTTTACATACTAGTTGTGGTAGTTAAAGTTATGTATCAACTTGGCTGGGCAGCTGGATGTAGTTATTCCCATGGTGAGATTGGTAATTAACTCCATGGTGGAATCTACTGGAGCAGCTGAGTAGCTGCTTCAGGGATGTGAGCTGCTTCCAGTATGTAAGAAGCAACTTTGAGGAAGGTCTCCAGCTTTTGGCACGTTTGAATCCTGCATGTAGCTGAATCATTATTGAGCAACCTGCCATGTTTCCTGCCTATCTTGAAACTGTCTCTGAACTGGAATTAGTGGCCTGCCAGGTGGTTTGGTAATAACGGGACTGTGCCTTTTTACTTGTCAACCGTGGGTTTGTCAGCCTCAGCAGCCAGTAGCTGCCTAAGTAAAGAAAGCCTCTAGCTTCAGTGGGCCAGGAGCAAGAGGCAGAGCTGAAGTCCAAGGCTGAAGGGCTTTCACCCAGCCCCTAGAGCCTGGCAGCTTGAACTCAAGACTTCTAGCTTCCAAAACTGTAAGAGAATAAAGCCCTGTTTAAGACTACCCATTTGTGGTATTTTCTGCTACAGTGGCATAAAGTAACCAAAACACCAGTATTGTAGAACTTCATATAATGGAATCATAGTTATGGTCAGGTGCCATCGAGTCAGTTCTGACTCATAGTGACCCCAGGAACAACAAAACAAATCACTGCCTAGTCCTGCGCCATCCTCACAACTGTTGCCACATTTGAGCTCAACTATTGCAGCCACCGTGTCAAGACATCTCATTGAGGGTTCTACTTTTTCTTGACTTTCCACTTTACCAAGCATGATGTCCTCTAGGGACTGGTCCCTTCTGATAACATGTCCAACTTCTCCCAAGACATTTGTTCATTCTTCTGACAGTCAATGGTATATTTAATATTCTTGGTCAGCACCATAATTCAAAGGCATCGGTTCTGCAGTCTTCCTGACTCATTGTCCAGCCTTCACATGCAGATGAGGCAATCAAAAACACCATGGCTTGAGATAGGCGCATCTTAGTTCTCAAAGTGACATCTTTGCTTTTTAACACTTTAAAGAGATCTTTTACAGATTTCTCCAATGCAATATGTCATTTGATTTCTCAACTGATGCTTCCATGAATGTTGATTATAGAGCCAAAATGAAATCCTTGATAACTTCAATATTTTCTGTTTATCATGATACTGTTTATTGGTCCAGTTGTGAGGATTTTTGTTTGCTGTTGAGGTGTAATCCACACTGAAAGTAGATATTTTTTGTGTTTAGCTTTCAGTGGAATGTTTTTGAAATTCATCCATTTTGCACGTATTAATAGTTCTTTTTTTTTTTTTGCTGAATATTATTGCATTGTATGACTTGTTTATCCATTCACCTGTTGACAGACATTTGGGTTGCTTCCAGGTTAGGCAAATTATGAAAAAATGTGCTATGAGCATTAGAGTAGAAGTTTTTTATATATGGACTTTTTTTTTTTTTTTGCTCATTTCTCTCTAGTAATACCTTCAAGTAGAATGTTTGGGTCATATGTTAAGTATATGTTTAACTGTATAAGAAACTGCCAAACTCTTTTTCAAAGTAATGGTATCATTTCACAGTCTTACTTTTTCCTCAGTGTTTTCTAGAGTCAGATTTCTCCTTTTGAATGAGACCAGATCTTCACTGGCCTCAAGGTGGTCCCAAACAGCCTGGTAGGTGTAAAAAAGGTATTCTAGTAAATGTTATTTTAGCAGGAGTACAAGAAGCCCAATCCATAGGTGACCTTGTTTTCTGTCCCCAGTAACTTTCCAGAGACTGTCCTCAGGGTAGTACTTTGGATTCAGGACTTAACTATTTTCAGGGGGGAGTTGATATGGTCAACCAATCTTGAGCTGACTTGGGGTACTCCTTGGAGATGATGGAAGGGGACTAGGAAGTAGGGCATTAAACTTCAGTTAAGGTAGCTACAAAAATATCAGAAAGGAGACATTTCTGTAAAGACTGAAAAATTCTAGTGAGGCATGGGAGACAGAAAATGCTGTTGTGTCTTGATTATGTTGCTAGTGTTAACATACTGAGGTGTGTACCTGTATGTGCCTGCCTATGTGCATCTGTACAAGGACAGAGTGGCTCTATACCCAACAGGCAGGCAAAAGACCAGAGTGAGGTGTCTGAGACGGAGTCTGGATGTGAACTAGGCAGGATGGGCCTCTCAGCCCCAGCGCCAGGTTCAAGCGTGGCCAAGAAAGGGACTGGTACCCAGCAGCTCTGCACAGCATCAGCAACACCCTCCTCACGTGCTATCTGGGAAGGAAGACAGGCCCCCAGAGACTAGAAGTTACCTGCACCTTGCCCTGTGGCAGCAGGGACTGGGGACAGCAAAGGGTGACCATGGACTCTACTCCTCACCCTCCCTAGCCCATCACTTCCCTCTTTCCAGTGCCACAGCCAGACAAGCCTGATGGGATTTTTCCAGTCTGGCCAGTCAGGGGAGATGGTGTCCCTGAGCCCCTATGGCTGGGCGTGGGGAAGAGCTCTGCCATGAGCAGGACGAGGTCAGGGATGAGGAGGCAGCAGTGCCCCCACCTCACATCCTGTTTTTGAAATATGGAACCCCCCCAGCACATGTTCTTTCATTTGGACCTTGTCCAAGGTAGTGTCCCCCCACCCAGGCTCACTCCCAAGGGAACCTGCATGAGGCTGGGGAGGAGTCCCTGGCACACCCAAGTAGTATTTAACCTGGAGCTTTTTCCAGACCAGGCTAGGCTGCTGAGCCAGCAGGGATGAGGGACACATTACCCACCCCTTCCGGAAAGCAGGTCAGGAGCTCATCAGCAGATAAAAATCCATGTAGCCACCCACCCCCATTGCACCCTCCACATATACACCACCTCCACCCCCACCCCCACCCCCACAGCTGAGAGGACAAGTCACTGAGGAGGCAAGTCCTAATGTCTGGCAGGGCATGAGACAAACTAAAAAAGCCAAACTCACTGCCATCAAGTCAATTCTGACTCATAGTGACCTCCATTGGGTATCCGAGGCGGTCAATCTTTACAGAAGTAGATACCCAGTCTTCCTTCCAGGGAGTGGCTGATGAGTTTGAACCATCAACCATTTGGTTAGCAGTCTGATGCCTTAGGCACTGTGCTACCAGAGCTCCTTGGGCATGAGACAGGCACCCGCTATTTACTGGCTGTATGACAGTGGATAAGTGGCTTAGATCCTGAGTCTCCACTCTCCCAGTTAAGGATCATTGAGGGGATTAAATGAGCTAATATGTGTGTGGCTCAGTGCAGCCCCAGCCCAGAGCAGATGCACAAGTGAGGGAGGGAACAGTGTGGGGGTTGGGCAGTCTCCTGGACAGGTGGAGGGGACAAATAAAACTTCCCAACCTCACAGTGTCCCCTCCCTGGCCACTTAGATTGTCATCAGTCACCCTAAGCCCCCTCCACCTAGATTAAGAGCCTTGGGTGGTAAGGGAGCCTATCTCTCTAGTTACCTTTCACAATGTAAAATAACTATTCAAATATACAGTACATCTGGAAATTAACAGAAAAGCAGGAAGGAAGCAAAAGCTTTCATTTAACCACTAAAACCAGCCACTCGGTATTTTAATGTTTTTCCACACATTAATGGAATTTTTTCTGGGCTTGTTTTTTTCTGTTGTTCTCTGTACCAGCGTTGGCTGGGAAGGTCCCTGGGCACAAACGGCTTGCAGTTCACACACCAAGTGGCACCTTAAGAGAAAAGCCTGGTGGTCTGCTTGCGTACAAATTATAGCCCTACAGGGTAGTTCTACTCTAACACATCGGGTTGCATGAGTCAGAACCAACTCAATGGCAGTGGGTTTGATTTTAAGTTTTAACATGGTTGGGACCCTCCATTAAGACTTTGAGGTGCAAGGAAACCTGAGGATCAACTGGTCCACCTTCCTCAGTTGGCAAAGGAGGAGGAGACTCTTGCCCAAAAAAGTGACTTGTCCAACATCAAGTTAGTGGCAGAGCTGGAACCAGGACCTATTGGCTGTTGCTGCCTCTTCAAATAGCAACATCAGCACCCAACCTCCCTTCAACCCTGAGGACCACCTTTGGAGAGGATGGTCAGTTAATAGAGTATGTAGGCTTCCCAGATTGAGGGAGTCTGTTGGAGCACGGCTTGCATGAACCCCCTGGTTCTCTCAGTAAGGAGTGTGGCTCTGGTTAACCCCATCCCCCACTTCCAGGTGGAGACAGCCATGAGACAGGGATGAGAGCTGGGTGGGTGAGGGATTGATAGGAGGGCTGGCAAAGGCCAGCAAGGGGTGTGGCCCTTTATCTCTTCCCAAGGGTGGAGTCAGCCAGCAGGGTTGCCCTGTCCCTTTAAGAGAAGGGGGAGAGTTAGCCCCTCTCTATCCTGTACTGTCATCCATACCAGCCAAATCCTGAAAAGGGAAAATGAAAGCAGGACCAGGAGTATCAGGTCCCAACCATCTCCTGAGTCCCAGTGTTCAACTCTGATGCTCCAGCCACAACCACAGGGTGAGTGCTGTTGGTTGAGGGTCTGGGGACAGCTGGGGCCTGAGGGGACTTACGTGTGGGAGGGACTATAAAATGTGGGAGGCTAGAGGGACTCCAAAAACAGATGGGAGAAGGTTAGGCCACATTCCCACCAGGATGGGCTGGGGTGGCTGGTGTACCTAAAACAAAGAATCCTAATAGACTTATGGAACTGAGGGCTACATTTGTGTCAGGCCCCCAATCCTGAGAGGAATTCACTGCAGTTAAAAAGGGTAAGAGAAATGGTGAGTGGAGTAAGAAGGAAGTGGGTCCCGTTGGGTCTGCTGGGCCCACCTCTCCCAGGGATAAGAATTGGGTCTGGAGTCTTGGGCTGAAGGCAACACTATTGTCCGTGGAACGCATAGCACATTATGGTACCCATGGGTGTCTGCTCCCACAAACACCAGTCAGCGGCTACTGACCTTTGAGATTCCTTCCTAAAACTGGAATCTAGAGGATCCTGGGGTCTAACCAAGAAGGCCCATGGGTGCATAGCTAAAAGGCCAGGTTGGGGCGCCTCGCCAGCACCCAAAGACCCCAAGGAGACAGAAATTCATCTTTTAAAATCACCTATCTACTCAGCGCCTCCCCATCCCGCGCTTTCCGGCCATTAACTCATTTGCGCCCACCAAAACCCTGAGGAACCTAGGCCTATCCGACCTCCTGACTCACCCTCAAGTTAAAGAGGTCTAACGGACTCCATCCCGTGGGCGTGGGAGGGGGGAGTCCCTTCTTGGTCCTCGCCCCTGACTTCCCCGCCCTGCGTCTCCAGCGCCATGGGGGAGTGGGCGTTCCTGGGCTCGCTGCTGGACGCCGTGCAGCTCCAGTCGCCGCTCGTGGGCCGCCTGTGGCTAGTGGTCATGCTGATCTTCCGCATTCTGGTACTGGCCACGGTGGGTGGCGCAGTGTTCGAGGACGAGCAGGAGGAGTTCGTGTGCAACACGCTGCAACCGGGCTGTCGCCAGACCTGCTATGACCGCGCATTCCCAGTCTCGCACTACCGCTTCTGGCTCTTCCATATCCTGCTGCTCTCGGCTCCCCCAGTCCTGTTTGTCATTTATTCTATGCACCAGGCCAGCAAGGAGCCTGGCCGGGCCGACTCCGGCAGCCAGGGAGCAGAGGCGGGGCCGCCGTGCTCCCGCGGCCGCCCAGAGGGCCCATGCGCGCCGTGCGCCCTGCGCGCCCGCCGCGCGCGCCGCTGCTACCTGCTCAGCGTGGCACTGCGCCTGCTGGCGGAGCTGGGCTTCCTGGCCGGCCAGACGCTGCTCTATGGCTTCCGTGTGGCCCCGCACTTCGCGTGCACCGGCCCCCCGTGCCCGCACACCGTGGACTGCTTCGTGAGCCGGCCCACCGAGAAGACAGTCTTCGTGGTCTTTTACTTCGCAGTAGGGTTGCTCTCGGCGCTGCTCAGCGTGGCAGAGCTGGGCCACTTGCTTTGGAAGGGCCACCCGCGCCGCCAGAGCCCCGGGCGCGCGCGCCAAGCGGCCGAGCGCGACAACCGCTGCAACCGCGCGCATGAGCAGGCACAGAAACTGCTGCCGCCGCCGCCGCCAGCCCTGCTCTCTCGGCGGCCTGGCCCGGACCCCTACGCCCCGCCCGCCTACGCGCACCGGGCGCCAACCAGCGAGAGTGAGGGCGGCAGCAGCCGCAGCAAGGTGTCTCTGGCCACCGTCCGCCAGGACCTGGCCATCTAGCGGCGGGCACTGCTTCTGATGGAGGGTGAGGCCAGAGACAGGACTCCACCTCTCTGGCATTCAGCAGAAATAAGAACTGACCTCCCAAGAGCTGTTGACTGGACCCGACTTGAGCACAAGATACTCCCAACGAGGATGGCCCACAGGGCAGCATCCTCACTTCCTTGATGCCCCCCGCTGCACAGTGAGCTGGGAGCAGAGAAGGAACCAAGGCTGCTCCTTGGCGCCGTGATCCCAGTGGAAACAAGGCAGGAGGGCAGAATGGAAGGTGGCGAGCCCTTGTTTCACTAGGGACAAAAACAACGGTAACACTAGCATTCTGTGGGCCTCTCCTCCTCGTTCAGGCTGAGGCGTGGCCAACATAGGCTTTCTGTGTGTATGCACATGCGCACATGTATACACTGAGTGTGTGCACATGTGTACACATGTACAGTGCGCTGTGTGCACACATGTACATCCAGTGTGAGTTCTGTATGTGCGCACATATACACTTGTATGCATATGTATACCCTGTGCAAGCTGTGTGATGTGTACATGCACTTGCATGCCCCAATGAGCGCTGTTATGTGTGATGTGTACTATGTGGGTGGCCAGGATCCCATGCCAAGGGCAGCAGCAAGGATTCCCTCTTTACTGCCCAAACGCAGCCCATGTGTGAGGACATCTCAGGGAGGGCTCCCCTTGGATAGGAGCTCCGGCCCCCCACTCACCCACCACCTCATACCCTGGGGCAGGCCGCAGTCTGGTAGGGTTTGCACATCCACACTCTGCAATCCACACTCTCTGCCTTGTGTCCTGGGAAGGGTAGCTGGGCCCCTCCCTTTCCATGGAGATCGTTGAGGGTGGGTAGTGGGGTCAAAGGGCAGGACACATGAATGTTGTTCCTTTCTGCCATCTGCCCTCCTTGCCTAGCAAGTGCTCCCCTAGACTATAAAGGTGATTAAGTCTCTTCCATCCTCAGAAGAAACTGCCATCATACCAAATGTGCTTTTGGCCCTGCCTTTCCCTCCAGCTTTCACCCTCCTTCCTCCCAGGCATCCAAAAACTTGTCTCCATGGCTGCCTCCGGTCCCTTTCCTGTCTTCTCCTCTACCCCTCATCGGTCTTCCTCCTTCACTGCCCCAGTGGGGGGCACACTTGATAAACATCCCCCATCACCTAAATGAGGAACCCAGGGCTGTTCCTCACCCCCTGCCCACCTGCACCTCTGCAGCTTCACCAGACCCTGCTGCCCGCTTGCTCTTTCTCCCGGCAGTCATGCCATGCCCTGCCTCTGCCCGACTTCTCCTACATCCCTGGCCATTCCCTCTGTTCTCAGCTTTCCTGGCTGTGGTCCACACAGCAGCCAGAGGGGCCTTTCTAATGCCCCCTCAAGCCCTCTGGGGCCCCCCGGCCCTCAGGCTAAGTCCATGAGTCACTTCCCACTCACGATGACCTGACATACAAACAACAAAGCGTTGCTGGTCCTGCGGCATCTGCACAATCACTGGTGAAGGAGTCCGTCGTGGTGGCTATTGTGTCCGCCCATCCGACTGAGGGGTTCCCTTGCTTTTTACTCTACCAAACCTGGTGCCCTTTCCTAGTGAAAGGTCTTTCGGAACGATGTGCATGTGTCCAGAGTAAGAGAACTGAAGTCTCGCCCACCTCGCTTCTAAGGAATAGAACGTTGTGGTTGTGGAAGAAATAGGAAGAATTACCTGGCCCAGGATGTCAGTGTGCAGTTGAGAAACCCTGGTCATCGGTGACGGATCGCTGAACAATGAGGGCAACCGCAAGCCCAGAGGTTTCCCACACCGCTCGTGGGGGGCACTTTGTAAATGTGCCCCCCTACTCAAGCCCTCTGGAGCTCCCTTGCCTTCAGAGTAAGTCCACGAGCCTGCTTCCACTCAGGGTCATCTTAGATCGAAACAAAACAAGGAGGAACCCCCTGGCACTTAATGAGCAGGGGGTAGGAATGCCAAGACATCCTGTTGTGATAGTGACTTGTCAGGAAAGCCTTTAGAATGTCTCACTGGACACTCACACAGTGGAAAAACCTCTTTATAATTACCTGGGCCCCAAACCTAACTCAGTATTACATGTAAAACATTAAAGTTTGGATTTTTTTTTTTTTTTTTTTTTGCACAGGTTTATCAGACATTGGCTGTGCTTGTTTTTATTTCCACACTCAGCTATACCTCAGCTCTTGTTCTTGTACAGAACGGCTTCCGACCTTACTTCTTTTAAGTCCCAATGTATTCATTATTAAAGAGAGAAGCCTATGACTATGCCATCCTGTCTGCCATGTGGTTGTGCCCAAGCATTGACAGTTTGGACTACATTAGCAAGTACTTTCCCTTAGGGTGGGAGCTCTGGTAGCCTGGTGCCTAAGGCATTCAAACCCACCAGCCACTCCTCAGAAGGAAGGTTGGGCAATCTATTTCCATAATGATACTGCCTCGGAAGCCCAAGGAGGGGTTGCTATGAGTCGGATCCAACTTGACAGCAGTGAGTTTTCCCTTAGTGTTGTCTTCATGATACAGTGTGATAGCATATTGATTTTTCAGAGTATGCGTGTAGGTAGGTTATGTTAGAATTTCATTTCAGATCAGTTTTAAAAAAAAAAAAAAGCACCTGTGGTGCAGTTTTATTCTGTAACACATGGGGTCGCCATGTGTCAGAGTCGATGACAACCAGCAAAAACAACAAAGGAAGATGTCAGAAAATCAAGAGAACCTCTGTCCCTGTGGCTCCCTCCAGCCTCGGTCAGATGAAGATGTGAGGCACTGCAGCCACCTGGTGGCTAGAATACAAATGGCTGGCGGCCCTGCTAGCCTTCCCAGAACGCAGCCTTTACCACCCACTCCCCAGATACCCTACATCTCAGTGTTTGATGCTTTTCCTTCTTCAGGGTCATTTAGGACCCATGAAAGACTCCTAGACTGAGAAATGGGCGCCCAGAGGACTGGGCTCCAATCTGCTGACTTGCTGTGTGACCCTGGGCAAGGGAACTGCCCTCTCTGGGCCTTAAGGTATAGTGGGAGGCACTAGGAAAAACTAGCCTCTGAGGGCACTCTGGGCCTCCTACACTCACTCCTCTTGGCCAGGAGCATCCTGATGCTCCTGCACCCTGCCACGCACGGTGGCCTTGTATCAGGAGTGTCCTCTGGAGGCAGGAGGATGTACGGGCCACCCCATACTTCCATCCCAATCTTGTGAGGTACAGCCCCTAGCCCCAGCCCCCACGCCACTGCTGTTCCTGCCATGAAGGTGAAGTCTGGGGTCACTCCCAAACATCACTACTCTGCCAGAGTGACCCCCCAGAGCCAACCTTGAGCTTCCTTCCCAAGGGTCCAAGATTATCTGGGAGTAGGGGCTGGTGCCTCCCTCTTCTCACACACACACACACACACACACACACAAATGAGCCTCTGTGGAGCTGGACTGCACTGAAAGCAGGGTGGTCTCTCCTCTACCTAGAACCCAAGACCCAGGACTTCTGAAGGCAGACCTGCTTCCTTCCATGGGCTCTCCAAAGACCACAGCCCAGGAAGGCAGGCCAGAGGGTGGGGGCGAGGGTGGGGGGCCTGCCTGGCACACTGGTCAACTTCAGCCACCAGTGCTCATACCTGACCACCAGTAGCCCAGAGCCCACGGGGAAGGCCCCCATCCCTAGCCCCCCGCCCAGACGCTGAGAGAAGGGGCGGAGGCAGCGAGGCTCTGAGGCACGTATAGAATAAATATAACTTTATCCAGTCGATCTCAGCGGAAAGTCCAACAGTAACAGATGCACCAGCGGGCTCCAGGGGTGGCGGTGAGACCCCAGCCCCAGGGCGAGGAGAGCAGGGCAGAACCAGCTCCCCCAGCACAGGGCTGCAGCAGGGAGGAGAAGGGACCCCCTGTAGGCCCGTCCTGCGGGGCAAGGAGGGGGTATGGGTGTGAGGCAGGCAGAGGGACTGGGCTGGGGGATGGAAGAACTAGGGGCCAAGTGTGTGTCAGTGTGTCTGTGTCCCCGGGGGCCTGTGTAGGGTGCTGGTGGCTGTGAAGCTGGGGGCAGGGCAGCTCAGACCCCTGGGCCGGCCCTTTCACAGTGGGGGATGGGAGCTCAGATGGTGTGGGTGCAGTTGGGGAGGCAGCTCTGCCCAAGGAGACAGGGCTGAGACTGTACTCCACGGAGCCCCGTGCTCTGCCCCTGCCCTCTCACCGCGGGCAGAGCCACAGGTGCCAGAGACCAGAGAGCCCCCTTCTTTTAAGGGCTTCCTGCAACTGTCCACACACTTAGCCCGAGGTGGGGGACAAAGGGGGCAGGCCATTTCCCCCAGCACGAAGGAGGGAAGGGCAGGCATCAGAAAGTTAGTATTTCACAGTTTTAAAGAAAAAACTGAGGAGAAAAAGGCTGAGGAGGAGGGTGAGGGGGCACAGGGACGTGGTGGGAGAGGGGGAGCCCTTCCCCTCCCCCAGGGCCCATCCCCCTCCAACTCTGGATCTGGCTCCCCCCATATACAGCACAGATTCCTTCAGTATGAATGTGCTTAAAATGAAAATTCTTATTAAAAAAAAATCAAAACAAAAAAAATTAAAATAAAAACAAAACCAGCGAGAAATTAATACCTGGGGGTTGGTATGGCAGGGTATGTACAGGGGGTAGCTCCCCACCCCTGGCCCACCCCCTCTGTCACCAACCAAGGCAGGGGGGAGAAGGTCCCCAATTAGGGAGCGATGGCTTGTGAGTTCTGAGGATGGGGGAGCCAGGTCCTGGCTTTTGCTGGTGATGAAGATGTGGCGAGGTGAGCGGTGGGGTGTCTTGAACACAAGGCCCCCGGCGCCCCATCCCGAGGCCCAGGACTGGGGCTGCTCACTCAGTTCACTGCCCTGCCCCCACCCGACGTCAGCCCAGGCAGCAGGAGCCCTCAGTCCATCTTGGGCCTGGGCTGCTGTCTGAAGAGTCACACCCTCCTCCCTCCAGTCCCCCCCAGGGGAAGGTCCCCAGTTCTGTCAGGGAGGACAGTGGGAGCAGGGCTGACCAGCAGAGGGGGGTCACGTGGTTGGTAGAAAGGCAGAGAAAAGCCGGGGCACTGGGGCATGGGTGGTCACGGGGAGTGGGTGGCCGGGCTGCTTCTGTTTGAGCTGGGGCTGAGGCTGGGGCTACAGCTGCCTGGCGGGGGGGCCAGGCCACCCCCGTCCCGTCCCCTGCCCCCCTGCTGTCCGCCCAGAGTGTCCAGGCCCTCTGAGTTCTCCAGCATTTCCTGGATAAGAGGTGGCATGGAACCCGGGATCTCCATCTTCAGCGTGATCACCCGCTCAGCCCCTGCAGGAAAGGAAGGCAGAGGTCAGCAGGCGAGGGGCCCCTGGTGCCGGGTGGGCTGCTGCGGGGGAGGGGAGCAACACTGCCAGTATCCGCACTGACTGTGCACCCAACTGGGGCCTTGGTTCTTCAACCTAAGCCAGAGCAGGAGCCTTGAGGTAAGGGAGCTACAAACGTGAGCTCCAGGATCAGACTGCCTGGGATTGACATAGGGCCATTCCTCTGGGGTGTGTTCTATGGACTAGCCTACTGACACCTCACAACTACTCTATAAACCCTGTTATCATCTTCACTTCTCAGACAGGAAACAGGTACAGAGCTGCTAAGTGACCTGCTTGAGGACACAGATCCGTACGGCCTGGTCAGGGTGACACCACTGCCTTGGAGCAGGCAGGCAGGCAGGCAGTCCCTGGGAGCCCAGCGGAGTCTCTGAAGACTTTGGCCTAGGGACACATAGGAACACACCGGGCCCAGATGAGTGGCATGCTGCCGTGGGCACAAAGAGGTGGGGTATTGGCTCAGATGCTGAGGGGTGTAGCCTGGGCACAAACCATGGTTACTGGTCCAGGTTTGGGGTGCCTGGCCCTGGGCACAGACAGTGACTACTGGGCCAAGGGTGGGGACTTTGCTGGGTAGACACACAGGAGCCTGACCCTTAGCACTGATGCTTCTCAGGTCTGTGATCTTCATCAGCATCTTGGGGAACATGTGGGGGCGGCTGGGCCTCCGTTTCCGCACATAGACCTTCAGTGCCTCCAGCAGTGGTTCCTGCAGCATGTCCACCCTGTCTGGCTGCTCCAGGTCCTGCCGATCTGAGGAAGCAGAGACCCTCCTGAGCAAGCTGCCCAAGCCAGCTGCGCTGGAACACAGCTGTGTTCCCAGCCTTGGCCACTAGGGGGCAAGCCTGCCCAGGCCACAGACAGGACCACCAGCCACCTTCTCACCTCTGTGGGACCTCCTCACGCTGTTCCCCTCAATCCCCACGGCCCCTACATACAGCAGTGGAGGGGGGCTACATGCTGTAAGTAGGGACATAAAGAGGTTCTGCAATGTGAGGTGGGGATGAGGGTGCTCAAGGTCTGAGCTCCATCCTCAAGCTAAAAGGACTGGCAGTATCTCGCTGCCACATCAGTAGCCTAGAAACTAGCGTGACTGGCAGAAATCCCCCCAATGGAGTAACAGCAGCAGCTAAGACTTACTGGGCCTTAACTCCAGCAACACTGTGCCTTATTAACGCCTGAAACAGCCCATCATCTTTACCAGGTGAGGACCATTATTGCCCGTTTTACAGACCCTATGGTTCAGAAAGGTTCAGTAAGCTGCTCGATGTCACACAGCTGGTTAGGATTTGAATCTTGCTTGTCTGACCTTCAAGCCCTCAATCTTAACCCCCATAGCAGGGGTAAGCAAAACAAAACAAAACAAACACCAAACCCACGACCATCAAGTCGGAGTCCAACTCATAGCGACCTCCGCTGGGTTTCCGAGGCAGTAAATCTTTATGGAAATAGATTGCCTCGTCTTCCTTCTGCGGAGTGACTGGTGGGTTTGAACTGCCAATCTTCTGGTTAGCAGCCAAATAATACCTTAGGCACTGAGCTACCAGAGCTCCCCACCCCTTAAGAATAAGGCATCAGCATTCAAGTTCCCATCGCCACTATATGGCCAGAGACCAGCCCCTGCCCCTCTGGGCCTCAGCCTCCCCTTCTAAGAGAGCCTGACAGGGACCATGCTTCCTTCCTCCCCATCTGATGATCCCCGAGCTTCTCCCTCTGGGAGGTCCTGGGGGCCACACCTCCACCCTGGGCCTGCCGCCTAGCCCACCTCCACAGATGAGACAAATGGCGCTGAGCAGCCCAGTCTCAGCATCATCCATCTCCAGGGGCAGTAGCTGGTTGGCAAAGGCGAAGACCAGGTCGGTGAGGGGGCCGAAGCCAGCGTTGTGCATCTGGGTCCGGTTCAGGGTCAGCCCATCCGAGAAAGTCATGGTGTCCTGCTCGGGTGTGTACCGCGTGCAGATCCGCAGGATCTGGTGCAGAGGATGTGAAAGGTCAGGGACTCTCGAGCCCCACACCCTGGCACTAGCAGCACCTACATTCCCCAGAGGACCACCTGGCAATGCTGTCAACAGAACTTTCTGCAGTGACAGGAAGGTTCTATGTCTACACGCTCAGCCACATGTCGCTACTGGGCATTGGAAATGTAACTAGCATGACTGCAGAACTGAAGTTAACTATTTAATACTATTCATAATTTAAATTGAAATAGCTACATGTGGCTGGTGGCTACCGTATTGAACAGCTCAGATCCAGAGTATCCTGTCTCTGTGCAGAGGATTTAAAGGAGAACTAAAATTTCCAGGAGGCAAGGACCATGGTGGTCTTAGGTCCACCATTCCTAAGACTGTACACAACAGGTGCTCAAGAAATGTGTGTCAGCTTAAACTGGGTTGAGCACTGATCCTGCCTCCCTGCACCTGGACCATGGAGATGAGATAAGAGGCTGCCCTGCAGACAGCTTACCACACACACACACACACACACACACACACCCCTATCATCCCCTAACAATATTGTATTCAATCAGCGATGCCCCACAAGGAGAGGTACTCTCAGCAAACCCCAGGTTCCCCAAGAAGGACCAGGTGATGACAGGGAAGAAACTTCTCCTTCCAGCCTTGGCTTTGATGGTCCCTCCCAATCCCCCATCCTGCCTCCAGTCCAGTCGACCCTCCGGCCCCCACTGACTGCCCAGCATTGTCTGAATCCAGCAGGGTCTCATGGTGGCAAGCCCTCAGTTAGGGGGCAATCTCACCCACCCCCTCTAACAACTCCTAGATGCTACTTCCTGTGGAACACCCTCCCTGTGGCCCAGGCAGTTATGACTCCCTCCTTCGTGAGGAGGGGACAACACCCCCCATCTCCAGCCAGCACACAGCACAGCTTTGCAAACTGAAGATTTTCAAAAGAGGGGACCCTGTTGTGTTCACCTCTTTTCCTGACACTGAGCTCACAACCTGGCCACAAGGGCCCTAGGTGAACCTTTATTATTGACTATATGGGTGGGGAGGGAAGTGGTTGGATGGAAGGGTCAGTGGGAAGATGGACAGAGGATGAGTGTATGGATGATTGGGTGAACCCGTGCCCATCTGCGTGCTGAGTGGTAAGTGGGCAGCTGGATGGGTGAGAGGAAGGGTAGACGTTTGGGCAGACAGGCATTTGAGCAGGCCAATTCCAGATGGACATTTATAAGGGTGATTATGTGAAAAGGAGGTCATCCTCCAAGGCGTGGGGAAATGCCCAGAGGAGCGGGGAGCAGACCCTCACCAGGATGTCCAGGCAGGCACCCTTCAGGAGGGTGATCTGGTCGGCAATGGTGAGGGTGGTGAAGCCCGGCAGTTGCTTGGCAAACTCCACAGTCTTAATGATGCACTTGGTGGAGAGTTCACTGAACTTGTCCCAGAGGTCGATGTCCAGAGAGACACGTTGTTCTGAGCTGTTGTTCTGAGGGGAGGGGGGAGGATGAAGGCCTTTTCCCCCACAGCGCCCCTTCACAGCCTAGCTCCACTAACCCCCTAGGCCTGCACTCTGCCCGGCCTTCACTTCTTCACTTCCTGAGAGCTCTCTGGGAGGAGAGAGCCGGAGGAGGGAGGAGAAGGAGGACATGGGGCACCAGGCAGGGGTGCAAAGGGGAAGCTATCCTGGGCCCTGTGGCCCCTGGGTGCCCCCCAACTGGGCCAGAGGGAGCCATACCGTAGTGTATTTGCCCAACTGGCAGAGTGCAGGGAAGGTTTCCTGGTGCGCTTTGCGCACCTTCTCGATGAGCTCCCCCACCTCCGGCGTCAGCGTATAGCTCTCCGAGCACTCGGCCTTGGGTGCCTCCTTTTTCTTCTTGTTTCTGTCGTTCCTCACAGCTGTGGAGGACACAGGACAGGCCAGTTGGAGGAAGGTGCATGGCCCATCCCTGGGCCAGGGTCCATCCCTAGCCCAGAGCTCCTCCCACCAGACAAAGAGCTGCTGGCTGCTGGGGAGGTCACCCTGGTGAGTGTACACACACACACACAGGCACGCACGCGCACACACACACACGTACAAGCAGGGAAGGTATCGTGTCCTGCTCCAGCCACCCCACATGCCTACCCCTGGAGCCTCAGAGACCCACAGCTCTGTCCACATACACACACTCCTGTGGCCAGCCCACCATGCCCTTCCTCCCATGCGGCTACTTAAGGTGTGCACGTAAGCCGGGGGTAAGCATGTGCACAGAGTGTGTGTCTCCCACCTCTATGCTTGGCCTCCCCTACTCCCCACTCCCTTCTGTTTCCAGGAAAGACCCACTCACTCCGCCTCCAGTCCCCCAGCCCTTCAGGCAGCACTCTCCCTGCAGGTCCCTGGGAAGAGCCCCCCAGGTGGGTGGGTAGGGAGTTGGTGCCCTGGCCGAGGTTGGGGGCGGGCGGGGAGAATCTCTCGGCCCATTAGCTGGGGAGCTGACAGATCACCGGGGGCGCTGAGCCGCGCACACACCACTCGGCTTTAAAGAAGCGATGGGGTCGTTACCAGCCGATTATCCCAGACACACAATCACTCACAGGGCCAGTGGTGGTGGCTGCTGACGCGAGAGGAAGGCAGGGTGGGGGTGGGGGGCCTGGGGAGGGGGTAGTCAGGGTGGGGGGGCTGGCATAATTTGGAGATCACTCATGTCGATTCTGCAAATTCAATAAAGTGCAAGGGAGAGGAGGGAGAGGGAGTGGGAGAGTGGGGGGATAATTTGGGAAGAGAAAATTGCAGCTGTGACAAGACGTTTATCATTCGAAAGCTTTAATTCTATTGAAATGGCAGCTGCTCAGCTCCGGGGCACAGAGCAGCCACAAGAGGGGAAAGAGGGAGGGAAACGGTGGGCTTGTGGTGGGAAGGAGAGGGTCCCCCACCCTGGTCCTTCTGTGCTGAAAAGCTCTGAGGGCGGAAGGCAGCGGATGCTAAGGGAGGAGGATGTGCTGGCCCTCAAGCCGAGGGTCCCAGACCTGTGGGTCCCACTCTGCCTCCTGAGTCCAAGATGAAGGACCCATCCAGTCTCCTGGAGGTGGGGGCAAGATGCTACGGGTTCTTACCATTCCGGTCTAGAGCTCCCCTTATCCAAGTTAGAACCATCTCCCCCCAAGTCTCCTCCCTACTTCCCTCTCCCACTGCCCTCCCCACAAAGGGCTGGGGGGGGTGTCCTGCAGCCCCCTCCTCCATCCTCAATCCCCCAAGGCTCAGGCTCCATGGCAACGGCCACGCAGACAAGGAGGCGTCTGTCAGCGTCATTTATCTCTGACATCATCAATCACCGGTCACCACGGCAACACCCATGATTCAACACAAGAGGGTCTCCCTGTCCAGCCCTTCCTCCTCCCTCCCTCCATTGGGCCTCAGCTGAGCCCAAATTGGAAAACCCTATTCCTCTGGGATTGGGGAGGTACCAATTCTCTCTTCCAACTCCAAGTCCCAGGCTTAACCAGACAATGGCTTTTAGATCCCTATGCCATCCCACCCACCTTCCTGACAAATACCAACCTAGCCCCCTCAGAGGTCAGACCCTTCCCCATAAGATGCAAGATCTGAAGGGACTCAGGTATGCCTGTGAGGCCCACTTCAAAACCAAGAAAGCTAGACATGCACAGTGAACATATACAGTGAGACACACACAAACAGGACGTTAAATGAACACCATACTTAAGCCTCGACCCATGTACAGACACACAGCCAGGCAGACGCACAGACAGGTCCTTGCAGCTCTCCACACACTTCCCGTGACTGTGAGCTTGAACACCAATGTACATACATATTCCCGTCCTTACACACCCCACCCTCTGCACCCTTGGCCCTGAGCAGCCCCTCAGGCCCTGCCCGGAGCACTCACACTCCTTGGACATGCCCACTTCGAAGCACTTCTGCAGCCGGCAATACTGGCAGCGATTCCGGGTCACCTTGTTGATGATGCAGTTCTTGTCCCGGTGACACGTGTACACCATGTTCTTCTGGATGCTGCGGCGGAAGAAGCCCTGGGGATAGAGGGGAGGGAGTCAGGTCAGCCACACCCACGCTGGGAGCAACGCCTGGCCGCAGCCTGTAGCAGAGACGGCCAGGCCAGCTGCTGCCCCTAAGCCTTTGCCTGTCACCTCTCAGGGTAGCCAGACAAGGTGGGGAGAGTGGTTCACCTACCAAAGACAGCCCCCAAGAGAATCCCAGGACCTTCCTCAACACTACGAGATGGATGGAGGACTTCCCCCAACCCATACCCACAGTCCTGGCCACCTCCCCTCGGGAAAAAGAACCCCAAGGCTGCTATTGAGTCAGGAAAAGGAAGAGAAGGGGCTGGATGGGAAAGAAGCAGGATCTGGAACCTACACCCCTGAGCTCAGAACACAGGAAAAGTAGTCAAGCAGGAAGAGGCCAAGGAGAGAGACTGGACACGCGCACACACACACACATGCACACAGACTCGGCAGCCAGGCAGCAAGGCCTACAGCTAAGCAGGCAGACCAATCACAAGACAGAGCAGCCTGGACACACAATAACCAGAGAGACAGGCCAAGGACAAACCTGAAACAACCAGACAGGACAGGCAGACACACACAGTCTGAGGCCTTGTGCTTTGCCCTTGACCTCTGCCTCACACCTGAGGACAGCTACTCCAGGCTAAGGGGCGGTGGCCCAGTACCCCGAGCCCCAAAGCTGTGCAGTTCCTGAGCCCCAGTCTCCAGGGTAGAAGAAATAAGGACAGAGGGTCAGGCCCTAGAGAGAAGAGAAGCCAGGCCCAGAGCTGTTGGGAGGGTGGCAACCACATCTGTGCCCTGGAGCCTACCGTGGGAGTTGGGAAGCCCAACAAGACACCCGGGAGCCCACAGCCTGGCTACCTGAAGAGGAAGCCAGGGCAGGACGCCTGCTGCTAACTGTCTCCTGCCAGGCTGCCATGGCAAGGTTCGGGCAGGGCCGCCAGGGGCAGGCCTCCTGGGTCCCCAGCCAAGGGCCGAGCAGCAGCCAGCTCTCCATGGCAACCTTGGCAGCAGTGGCAGCAGCGGGTGTACGCCTTGCCAGCTGGAGGACAGAGACAGGGAGAGGCGCTCAGACAAGGTGCAGGGGACCTCTGGTCGAGAGGAACCCTAACTCATCTACAAGAGGGAGTTCTATTGCCAGCAGCCCCTCCACCTCCAAGTGCAGCGGCTTCAGGGAATTCCCTCAACACCTGCACACTTCCAGGACTTGACAATGGGGACATCTCATTGAGATGATCAGGGCTATCGCCTCCTGCACTCACCTTGCAGCCCTCACAGGCGCTGACTCCATAGTGGTAGCCTGAAGACTTGTCTTGGCAGACAAAGCAAGGCTTGTAGATGCGAGGAAGAGGGGGCGGTGAAGGAGGGCTGGGCACTATCTCTTCGGAACTGCTGCTCTGGGTCTCAATGGCTAGAGAGAGAAGAGGGGAGGGGGCAGTTAGAGACCTGGGTGGCCATCCTTAACACCCTACTTGCCTCAGGATCTTTCCCAGGAACCTCTCCCAGCCTCACCATCCCAGGCAGGGTTCTAACTGAGACAGGGACACAGCAGCAGGGAGAGCCAGGACTTTCCCAGCCAGACTCAAGGAAGGAGGCTGCTGTGAAACCTCCAGCGTCCCCTCACTCCTGTCTGCATCCACCAGGCCCCTGCGTTCTAAATCAGAAAGCTCAGATTCCAAATCCAATGCTAAGAGCAAGCACACCTTTGTACTTAAGGGGTGAGCGGTGGAAGTCAGCTGTGTTCTAAAGCCCAGGCCACTAGGCGGCCAGGCAGGCCCCACTCTCCCCCAAGTTAGGAAGGAGTTAAGACTCAAAGAGGAGGGAGGGAAGAGGACACAAGCTGGGGGCAGAGGAAACTGGGGTCAACAGGATATTCAAAGCCGGTCACTCCCCCGCCCCTCGGCTTCCGCTCCCCCCTCCCCCCTCTACCAGCAGCCACAGCCCCTCCTCCATCCAAACAATCCTCTGGCCAGGGACCCAAGGGGGGGGGCGCTGCACACAGAAGAGACACAAACGTTCAGCCTCCCTGCCAGAGATGGAACAGAGCAGCCGGGACTCCCTGAGATGGCAGGGGGACCCCCTGGAGACAGGGAGAAGAGTCCCCGTGGGTCCTGGCAGTCCATCTTTCTGGGTGCCCCCAGTCTGGGGGGAGGCAGCTTGACAAAGGGGGTCTGTTCCCATCAATGCTCTGTCTGTCCAGCGTCAATACTACGTCCGGGTTACTAGCCCCCTCTCCTACTGTTATTCAGCACCAAGAGAGAAGCCAGGAGGGGTGACCCAGCCAGCAGGGGCAGCTCGCACTTGCCAAATCCTCCCCAGTTCTTGGCTCGATGCCCCTCACCCCAGGCAGAATGAACAGAGTTGGGCTGGGTGGGGATTGTCTGTGCCCAAACCCTGGGCAGCGATTGGGGAGGGGGGCTGGGCAGTGTACTGTGTAGGATTTGAATTATGACCGTGGTAATCCCAGATTCCCAATGAGCTCCTCGGCAAAGTCCATTAGGCCAGGGCCAAGGCTGGAAGAGGATGCCCCACTGAGTCCATCCCTGCCTACTCCCACTCCCACTGCTCATCTCACCTGGCTGCACGGCATATTCCACCATAAGAGGCTCCGGCATTCAAAGGCACCCACAGCTTCTGGCCCAAGCACCTTACAGCTGTGGGACACATGGTACCAGCTGTGGGTCCAGGCACCGGGGAAGCATTTAGACACTGAGAAGCTGCTGCATGCTACCACCCTTCCCTCTTGCCTGCAGGCACACCATGGGCTGTCAGGTGGTGGACAACGGGGACCAGCCCAGCAACCTTGGCAGGGCCTTCCTGGCTCAGTGGGGCCTGGGCACCACTTTCCCCGGTACCCAGCACTGCTGTGGCCCTATGTCCCCTCCCTGTCCAAAGACCAAATTATAGCAAAGGAACAACCAATGCCCACATCCCTACCAGTCCAGCAGACTGACAACCACCCAGCCCTTCTGCTGGGCTTGGTGCCCCCTTCGCTGTTCTCCCTGGGGCCAGACAAGCAGATCAGACAGGCAGAGAGAGGCCTGAGAACAGCTGCTCCAGGAGCTGGGGGGCCTGGGTGAGGCCAGGAGGCAGAGGGGTGAGCCACAAAGGAGCCCTTTGTTGTGCTAACTTTTTCCAGGACGTAAAAGTAGTAACAATAGACAATTAGACTTGGGGGGGAGGGGGTAGCAAGGACAAGGGGGTGTAGGGGGGACCCATGGCCTAGAATCCCAGTCAGCATTCCAACCAGCAGAGGAGAAGGCAGACACTGACCTCTGCTGCCAGAGCTGCCCTTTGCCCTTTGCCCCTTGCCCCAGCCTGCCCCGCCCCCCAAGGCACCGCCTCTAAAGTGGACCAGACAGAAGGGGGAGCAAGGACAGGGGGAGCTTCGGGGTACAGAGTGGGGTGGAGAGAGGGAAGGTGGGGCATGGAGACACACAGAAGACAGAGATGAGGGTCCTAAGGCTAGGGATGAACAAGACGGGAATAGGCAAAGTCCAGAGCGTGTTTATAGAATTGAAAAAATGTGCTTTTTAAAATTGCTTTTTGGCAGAATGGGAGAGACGACCCAAGGGAGTCGGCGGGCCGCAGTTTGGGCTCAGGGAGGCTTCGATTCTGCGTACCCACCCCGCAGCAGCTGGCTGCCTCAGAGACTGTAACACAGTTAGCACCGCCAGCACAGCCACCTGTCACCCAGGTAACCTAGCTCAGAGCTTTGGCGCTCCGCCCTTTGAACCTCAGGGTCTTGGCCCAGTCCCCACCTCCCCAGTAGGAAGGCCCAGCTGGGAGGCTCCGGACCCCTCACAGCCTCTCCGAGAATTACAACACAACCATACTCCCCGCACTTACAGGTCCGTCAAGGGGGGAGGACAAATGGATGAGGGACCGCCACCGCCTGGCCCCTGCCACCCCCGCTAACTTCCCTCCAAAAGGCCCCGGCCCACAAATCTCTCCTCTTCCTGTAGAAGGGTGGAGAGGCACCACACCTCAGCTCAAAGTTCCAGCGCCCAGCGGAGGAGAGGGCAGGCACCGGCCCAGGAAGCCAGGCGCCCCACCCCTGCTCCCTCCCCTCGCGGCTGGCTGCAGCGAGGAGCGCTCGGCTTCCCCAAGCCCCAGAGCCGTTCGCAGGCTCGCACAGGGGCCGGTTTCCTGGAGGAGATCAGCAGGAAATCAGCCGGGCCCCTGGCCAGCGGCTCCCCTCCCAATCCAGCTGGCGCCCGTTCCTCCGCTGCTCCCCTCGCAGCCCCTGGGGAAGGGTGGGGAGGAGGGGCGCGGGGAGAGTGTGGGGGTGGCTCTTGGCGTACCAGGGCCTAAAAAGGCCCCCGGCCCCGCTGGGCCGATGATAAGCATCTCTCCCCTCCCCCCACTACGGGCATCCACGTGCTTCACATTCTTGGACGTCTGGGAGTGGGGCGGAGGCGTGAGGGGCGGCGGCGGGATTGGTGGGGGGGACAGATGGGGAGCCACATCCTGTGCGCCCCTTGTCCTCCACTGCACCGAAATGGGGGCCCTGGACAGGGAGGCAAGGTCCCAGTGCCCTGCAGGACCCAGAAGTCTCCTCCCATAGCCAATCTGCTGTCTCTTCCCACCTTTGGTGGAAGTGGCAGGAGGGAGTGGAAAATTCTCCATGAGGGGCTTGGGAGTTCCTCCAGTCACGAGGACCCCACACACACTTACAAGGCAGTGACATTAATCCCCTGTACACTAGACAGGGTCTGGTTGCCATCCCCACTGGGCCTCAGAACAGCTACACCCACCACTCCAAAACCCACAGCCTAGGGGCCACTTGCACCCCAACCAACAGATACACTTAAGACACTGGACTGGGAGCCCCAGTCACCAGCTCTACCCCACCTCAGACCAGGTGTGTGGGGCAGGTCTCCACTTCCCATCACCCAGGCATTGGGGGAAGCAGGGCTCACCAAACCCAGTGCCCACTGCCCAACTCTCCACTCTCTGAGCTCCTTCTCTGTACCAGTTCTGGGCCAGGAAGAGCAGAGAGAAGGGACAAGCACTGGACCCCAAGGTCTCAGATTCCAGTCTCTCCCCAGTCTTCTGCAAACAGGCCACCAAGCTGGTGGAAAGGGTGCCTCTAGCAACCTGCCCACTTACTAGCTCCTAGGTGAAGAGAACTTTCCCACTCAAAGCAAAACGGGAAGAAGGGGTCTGGTCTCACACTTGTCACCTCTCCCCGGTTCCAAAGTCAACCAAAGCTGACACCTTCCCCTGAAGTTCACACCTTTCCCTCCCTCCCTCCCCCGGCAGTTTCCCAGAGGCAAAGGTCAGGGGGGGCAGAACAATAGGAAAGGCCTGGCAGAGGTGGTTCCTGGGAAGGGCAGACGTGGGGTCCCTCTCCACCTCAGGTCTCTCTTCCCAGAGAAGGCAGACTGGAGCCAGGGGGTCTGCACACTGCCCTTCAACCCTTCTCCAATCTGCCAGGCCCCACGGAGACCCACTGCACCCCTCTTCTCTGGCAGGCAGGAGGGAGGCAGCAGGGCCAGGCAGGGGGCAGAACCTCCTGGGAGAGCTGGGCCTCAAGCAGGGTAGGGAAGAAACCTGAGCCATTTAACAATAACCCCCAAGCGCCTGCTGACTCCCACCCAGGGTACACCGCCTCACAGCTGGGAAGGAACGTGCCCAGGTGTGCAACTCTGGCCCCGCAGAGCTCCTCCCCCTCCCTTCCTGAGCAGCCCAGGCAGGGCAGCAGGTGAGCGAGGGGAGGAGGCCATGAGGATCCCAGGGTTCTTACCAGAATCCCTCTTAGGAAGGGACAGCCCAGTGACTGGCCCTGTCCTGAGTGGAGACAGGGTAACAAAGGACATGGGAATGTTGGGAGGAGATGCAATCCTCAATTCCAGCATAGCTCCAGAACCACAAAACCGAACTTCTTCCCCAGAGAAGCCAGGTTAGGGGGAGAGAATTCTTCCTACCAGAGCACCATTCCCAGGACAGGAGTCTCAAAAATAACAGCCAAGTGTCTAGGACGAGGACAGTTCTTACACAGACCAGGTGTCCCTCCCTGACTTGTAAGGGTTGGTTAGGACAGTGGACGGGTGTCTAATCAAGGAAGTTCCCCAGTCACATGCCACCACCAACACCAAAGACACCAGCACTCCCGACACCCCCTCTAATGTCAAAGGAGCAGGGGCTGGGGCAGCAGCTGTAGCATTGGAGAGGTCTCTCCTACAGGCTTTGGCAGGGGTAGGATCTGGGAAGGAGGCCCCTCCTTCTTTGAGCAGACAAGCCCACAGAAAGGACCTTCATCCCACCCTCCAGGGTGGGAGAAAGGACCACTGTGTTGTGAGACACTGGATTCCAAGCAAAAAGATACAAACTGGGGCTAATGGGGCTTCATTTCCCTTGGAGGAAGCGGAAGAAGAGAGGAATGAATATTTCCTCAAAGGAGGAACC